GCATTAGCTCCCAGAATTCCCAGAGCTTCAACCTTACACTACAGTGTTCAGATGTTATTTGTAGTTGGCTCTATTTTGTATCATGATATCCCTTCCTAGGTTGAGTTTTCTGTATCATTCATTCATTCCACAAAAGGTATTCAGTGCCTACTGGGGGTAGAGTAGTGAATAAATGCAACTGGACTCCTGCCCTCCTGGTGTACACATCCCAGTTGCTGGAGGAAGACTCAGAGCCTGAGAACAAGTAAACAAAGGATAGGACAAGAGCTTCAGAAACAAAATGAAGTGAACTTATGGATACATGCTTGTGTTCCCTCAAATTGCTATGTTGAACCCTAATTCCAATGTGAGGGACGCCAGAGGAGGGCCTTTACCAGGTGGTTAGATCATGTGGAAGGAGATCTCCCAAATGAGATTAGTGCCCTTATACAAAGAGGCCAATGGCTAGCTCAATCTTTCTCCACCGTGTGAGAATACAACACAAAGGCAACTCAAAAGAGGGCCCTGAATAGAACCCAACCATGGTGGCATCATGATCTTGGACTTCCAGCCTTCAGAACTGTGATAAATAAATATCTGCTGTGGATAATCCACCCAGTTTATGGTATTTTGTTATAGCAGCCCAAACAAAGACACCAGGTAAGGAGAATGGCATGGGCTGGGGTAGTAGGGGAGGGTTTGAGACAGTACCCAGGGACTCAGAGAAGACCTCACTGAAAAGGTGATCTTCAGGAAGAGACTAGTAAGAAGCAAGGGAGAAAGGCAAGTGGTTCTTGGGGAAAGAGCCTTCCAGGCAGGGGGAGCAAGTGCAAAGGCCCTGAGGTGGGTGTGTGCTTGGGTGATGTGTGAGGGCATCAAGCAGGGCAGGGAGCACAGCAAGAAGAAGAGGGCTGGAGGGGATGTGGCAGATGCAAGGGCCAGGCAGAAAGAGTCAGAGACCACATCAAGGACTTCAGCTTGCCACTGGGTGAGACAGGAGCCCCTGGAGGACCAGAGCCAATGAGGCTTGTGGCTGAACGTTCATCTTCTCTTTTTGGGATCATACTGACTGGTATATTGAGAACAGACATCACTAGGGGAGGTAAGGGCTGAAACATAAAGTTGGGCTAGGAATCTCCACAATAACATAGGTGAGAGATGATGCTGGTTTAGACCAGGGTGGAAGCAATGGTGTTGACATGCAGTGGTTAGAGCCCGAATCTGTTTGAAGGTCGAACTGCCAGATCAGACGGGGGTGTGAAAGATAAGAGTTCAGCCTCATCCCTGATCTGAGCAAATGAAGACATGGAGCTACCATTTATTCCAAATGGAGACAGCTACTGTAGGGGCCAAGGTCAGGCTACCCAAAATGTTCCACTTTGTCATACTGATTTTTATTTTATTTTATTTTATTAATTTACATTCAATTACCCAACATACAGTACATCATTAGTTTTTGATGTAGTGTTCAATGTTTCATTAGTTGTGTATAACACCCAGTGCTCATCACAACACATGCCCTCCTTAGTGCCCATCATACTGATTATTTTAAATAAAAGTTACTTAAAAGGGCCTGTGCAAGAAGGACCCTCAGACCCTCCTCTGTCCCCCTGAAAGCAGGAAATAAATTTCTCCCATGAAAGATACCCTCCCTGTATCAGGAGCTAAAGAGACATCCTTATCACCAGAGATAGGAAATTCAGAGCCAAGAAGGCTGTAGAAACAACCCTTGTTAGTTTTTACTAATTTCCCAGCACAGTCCAAATTCCTCTCAGAATTCCTTACTAATTAAAGCTCCCAAAGTTAAGGGCTTTTGTCCTGTCAATTCCTCACAGATTTAGTGTCTCTTTTTCTGAGAAAGCTTAAAAACTATCCACCTTGGTCATTTCTGTAGGTCTCAATATCATTATTGGGCCTCCGTGTGCATGTAATAAAACTTTGTTTGTTTCCTCCTGTTAATCTGTCTCACGTAGGGGCGCCTGGGTGGCTCAGTCAGTTAAGCGTCTGCCTTTGGCTCAGGTCGTGATTCCAGGGTCCTGGGATCGAGTCCCGCATCCAGCTCCCTGCTCAGTGGGAAGCCTGCTTCTCCCTCTCCCACTCCCCCTGCTTATGTTCCCTTTCTCGTTGTGTCTCTCTCTGTCAAATAAATAAAATCTTTTTAAAAAAATCTGTCTCATGTAAATTCAATCTTAGTCCAACTAGAAGACCTTAAAGGGTAGAGAATTTTTCCTTCTCATCACTATGGAGGGGGCAAGTGTGAAAGGGAAAGAAAGGATGGTCTGGAACACACTGGGGTTAAGAGTCTGCTGGGTTCCTACATGGCGACACCAGGGAGGAAGTTGGGTTGGTGCTGTTAGCTCCTGAATGGTGCCTTAAACCAGGATACTGGGTCCTCCAACTCCTGAAACAAGGAATGGCTGGAGAGACATGAAGAGGCAGCAGAGGGAACTCAAAAGCCACGAGTGAGTTAGGAGAAAAACCTAAGGAGAGGTATCCAGACACTAAATGAAGAAGGTTTTCAGGAAGAGGGACCAATCAACTCTACCAAATGCTCCTGAGAGACCCAGTAAGATAAGGGGGGGGGGAATCAATCCCTAGAAAAAGCAAAACAATGGTGTTCTACTCCTGGTGGGGAGTAGGGGGTTAGGGCAGGTGTTGGCAGGTAAGGGACACAAGATATCACCTGGGGTGATGGCAAAGTTCTGCTTCCTGAGGGGAGTGGGACTGAGGAGCTGAAAGCATGCCTGGCAATTCACTGACCAATGCACTTAGGATCTGTGCATTGCATTGTACCTAAAATTTTTACCTTGAAAGACACCCTAGTCAAATCGCTGCAAGACACATGGGTACAAGTGACCACTGTCCACTATTCTACTTTGAACTGAACTTAAAAAGAAGCTAGATCTATAGAAAGATGGATAGCTAGCCAAATATGGGAGAAAGTGAGAATTATAAAATGCTAATTACAGAATCTAAGAGGTGAAGATACAGACTCACCGTAAATTCAACTCTTCGGTATGTTTGAAAAGAAACTGGGGAAAATTGTTATTCATAGTAAAGCATTCAGCAACCTGGGGGCTAGTGGTTTGCTCACCCCAAGCCAGGCAAGGTGAGTTTAACTGAGAATGCGTGGGAAGAGACTGGGGGCAGTCTGGGCCTGGGGAGGCACCACTTGGAGAAACATTGCTGTAAAGGTGAGGAGGAAACCAGAGTCACTGGGGAGGTTAATGGGGACAAACTGAGGTTTGTCTGTATGCTAATGAGAACAACCTGCAGACACTATTATGATGTTAGAGGCAACAGGGATGACTGTGAAAGCAAGGTTCTCAGCAGGTACCAGGAGGGGAAACCTCCTCCCAAGAGGGAGGGCCCTTCTCTAAGGGTAGCACTGACCCTGTGCCCATGACAAAGGAGGGAAGCTACAGCAGGTGTGCACAGGCTTTGAGGGTAGAATGTGCTCACTAAAGAATGTTGCTTTGAATACTGCAGGGAAATCTCTCAAAGGTTCTGCGAGGGATCTCATGTATAGCGAAGCGTACTCGCGGGACACATAGCAGATGGCTTTATGTGAATCTGTTTTCTTTCCCTCAACTTCCACATGCATTCCCATTAAAACTCACCGCCCAAGAAACCCCTGGAAGTACCCCTTTCCCTATATTTACTTCTCTCATTTCTGCCTTACAAAGAAAGGCGTATTTCCCTTACCTCAACTCCTATCTTGGGACACTGGCCCAAGAAGCAAACAAAGGGTCAATTCAAAATACCAGTGTCTATGTGTTAAAACTTGGGTGACAAAAACTTTCAAAGATCAGGTGGATTTTAATTCCTTTAATTCCTTGCTTTCAACAAAATTGAATGAGAAACTAATCAAGCTGTCAGCTGATACATCCTGATAAAACTATATTATCTTTGGCATGTCATCTGGAAGAAGTTCAAGGAATTGATTAACACTGCTGTAACAAAATGTCTTTCATTATGAATGACACATTACTACATCTATTTTAAAAAATCATAGAACTGATGGTGAAATCTACATCAGTGTCTCATTTCTGATAATAAAAAAATAGTCATCTATGAATACATGAATTAATTTAAAACAAAGCCTCATCTTTGGTAGAGAGACGAATGTCACCTTGATGAATTACGTACCAATAATCATTGTAAACCTAAATCAATCTAGGAGAAAAAAAAATTAACACTTATTGTCTAAAGGAATAATTTTTATGTAAATATTTATATTTAAGAGAACCAAGACAGAGTGATTAATAAAAGACCTGCAAACACAAAATTATACTACGTTAGGATAAAATTCTGTGTGAAAATTGGAATCGCAATGCTGGTACAAAGAAGACAGGGACTGTGTGAAATATCTGGCAGTTAAAGAAGGCTTTGTTTATATATTTCTTAAGTGAATGATATGGACATCAAATTATTATGGCATTTAGAGTCCACTTAAAATAGAGACTAACAGTTTTACTTTCTAATGTCAATATTTACAATTTGCTGGAAGAGACATCATTTGCAATCCACTAAATTTAGGTGAGAATTTTAGATGTCAAGTTAAAAATCCATGAATGGAATATAGCATTTCAAAACTTTTGCAGGGGCCACTGGAGCACTAAGTGTGGAGGCCTCTGGCTTAGGCAACTCTCTAGGATTCCAATATGTGCATCCAGGGGCATGGGGAGGGAGCCAGGTGCCCCTGAGCCCTGGGGACCAGTTAGTGCAGGTTACAGACAATGCAGATGTTAATCTTATTATTTGTCTTGCATGAAGTGCTTTTAAAATGTCCCCAAATCACCCTATAGTGAAATACAAGCATGCATCTAGTCCTGCAGGATGCAGTGAGAAACACCCCAAAGCGAATGTTCTATTTCACTTACATTGGCACGTGTGCAGTGATGGAGGACTGCCCTGGCTTTTCTCAGGGGCCCTCTGCTTCCCCTGCATTTCAAGCACTGGCCTCTGGGAAGGAAGAGCAGGAAGACCCACAGCAGAGGACTTCCACTGTCTCAACTTACCATCTGCAGCCAAATGTTGGTGGTTAAAACTTGGTTCTTCTCATCCTTCAAAGAAAAAGAAAGAACCATAAATATGGTTTATATGGTTTACAAAAGAGGGAGTGATACTGTTATTCATGCAGGAATCGGGCTACTGGGACTGCTGGAGTGTGTGGAAATTAGGAGGCGCCAAGCGCTTCCAAATACCCGCAAGCAGAATTTCCCCAGAGGTAAGCACATTTATTATAGAGTACTTACAAAATATGAAGAAGTATAAAGAGGAAAATTAAGACCCCACAGCCCCACATCCAGAGATGACACTTGCTAATGATTTAGCTTATTTTCCTTTGTACCCTTTACAATAATTTCTATGCTTAAGAAAATAAAATTGGGTACAAATTCCAACTTTTTTTAAAGATTTCATTTATTTATTTATTTGACAGAGAGAAAGACAGCGAGAGAGGGAACACAAGCAGGGGGAGTGGGAGAGGGAGAAGCAGGCTTCCCGCTGAGCAGGGAGCCCGATGCCAATGCGGACCTCAATCCCAGGAACCCGGGATCATGACCTGAGCCGAAGGCAGATGCTTAACGACTGAGCCACCCAGGCGCCCCTCCAATTTTTTAAAGCCAAGTTTATTACCAGAATGTATACAGTTTTAAACAAATGTAAGTATCTTGTGCTTCCCTCCACCAGGAAAGGGAGTATGACCTTGCCAGCGGCCACGCTGGAGGCCAATGGCACTGCGTGGGTCACATTTCTGCCTGGTCCCTATGGATCTGCCTTTCTTTTCTCTCATCGTCTATCTACCAAGAAGCATGTCTGGCCCCTGACACACACCTAAAGGTAAATTCTGTCCTAATAAGCAAACCAAGTTTCAGAAAGGTAAGATGACTCCTGAAGGAGCTATTCAAACTTGGATCTTTCTGACTCAAAGCCCCTTTCTCCACATTCCCAAACCACCTGAGAATGGGATCCAGCAGGGTGTCACGTCTGTGCTCTAACCAGAGCTTGGGATAGTGTACCAACGATGGCTTTGCCCCAGAACAGGACATCTAAAGAAAATTCTGGGGAACATCAATCCTCCCAACTGGTATGCAAGCAGGGTCTTATCACTGCTGGCCAAGCCCAACATGGCCTAGCAAATGAGCAAGTTTCATGCAACAGTTCTGCTGAGATGGTGTTTTTCAGAACTCAGCCCCCAATTCCCACCTAAAGGACTCTGTAAATTGGCAAGTGTCACTCTCTTTAGGAGAAAGTATTTACTAATGCCCCCGGGCAGATATGTCTAGAAGCTGAGACTGTGAGCTCCTCCAACAGGAATTACCTAGCCCCGTTAACTGATGGCATATTCAAAAACGGACCCAATGGCAGAAAGAACATGGCATCTGCTGGGGCGTGGTCAGAGAGCTGGGATGCCAATGAGAAATAAATGCTCTTTCTCATTAAAATAAAAATGTGCTGATCACGTAAGGAGCTGGCAACGATTCTTTGATGCATCAATGCCCCTGGCTCAGCAGCTCAAATTCTGAGCAACTTTGAGAGGTGAAATTGGCAGGCAGGGAGGTATGTGAATCCCAAAGAAAGAGCTGCTTGGGAAGGGACAGGCAACACCATCCTAGTAGGGTCCCAGGTCGCAGCTGTATCCAGAAGAAGCTGTCAGTTTGGTTACAGGAAAAATACATCCTATTTTTCAAAATAAACCATGGAAGAGTCTTTTTGGTGGAAAAAGTTATGTAGCTAACATTTCTCGGTATTCTGTGCTGAGCCAATTGTCCCCGATAGAGCCATATATTTGAACTGCACAAGTACTCTAGTTCCGGTTCAATCTCCAATATTATTTGAAAGCATCATTGAACTCTTTTAGGACATATATCCGTTGCGTCAACTTATTAAGGAGTTGTTGTTTTTAATGGACTTAAAATTAGCCAGTGTTCCATTTGGGTGGCTTTCCTTCTTTTAATTGCATCTGTGTTTTCAGCTTCTGAGAAAAAGACTTCTGTGGTTTGGGAGCTCAATTACTACCAATCTAATTAAAAGGCTTTCTTCTTTCCAACATTCTAACTGAAACCTCATTACAGTGAAACGGGATGTCTGTGGTGTGTAGCAGCATGGGACTGAAGTGCCGGCATTTCAAACTGTAATCAACACTGAGCAGCAGCCAGCCACCGCCAGAGAGCACAACGATGCCAGGTAGGGGAGCCCTCCGTTCAGACTCTGGGGGACCAGCCGGCAGATCAGCAAGGAGGCTGCTGTGCACCTTCCCAGAGCGGGTCTCTTTCTTCCACTTTCATCCCCGGGCCACCCGCTGGCTGTGTCTCTCAGCTCTCTCAGTCTGTACAGAGACAAGATGTCCTATGTCCTTCCCACCCCTGGGTGTGGTGCCCCCTCTCCATCACACCCTGAATGTTTGTGTCCCCCCCGAAATTCACATGTTCAAACTTAACCCCCACTGTGATGGTATCTGGAGGGGGGACCTTTGGAAGGAGATTAGGTCATGAGAGCAGAGCCTCTGTGAATGGGATTGGTGCCTTATAACAGAGACCCCAGAGAACTCCCTCGCCCCTTCTGCTATGTGAGGACACAGCTGTCTATGAGCCACGAAGCAGGTTCTCACCAGACACCAGATTGGCCAGTGCACTGATCTTGGATTTCCCAGCATCCAACCTGTGAGAAATAAATGTGTGTTGCTTAAGCCACCCAGTCTGTGATATTTTTGTTATAGGAGCCCAAGATGATGAAGACAGTGCCCCACCACACATGGACCCCTACTCAGCTCCAGAAGGGGCTCTCTGCCTTCATCCAGCTGCACTGCTCAAAGAATGAAGTCTAAGGTTCTTAGTGCAGTACACAGCCTTTTCTATAAGCTAGAGTCCAGCTAAGTGTCCATTCATTCATCTATCATTCATTCATTCAACAAATGTTTACAGAGCACTTCCTGTCTCAGGCATTAGGCCATCTGGACATATAGAGTAGGAATTGAACATCATTCTTGAGCTCATGGAACATAAAATGTGAGTCAGGGGTGGGATTACACAATTCAACAATGATATAATTACAAAAGGTGAAAGGAAAGGAACAGGGCTCCTTCAGATAGAATGACAGGGGTGGAGGAGTCCCAAGGATAACCCTTCATTTTTACACCCTATGATACTGGAAGACCAAAAGACATGGATCCCTCATGCCATCACCTGTATCATTCGCCCTTCAAGACCTTATTCCTCCTCACCTCCCAGGGTCTGCCCTCCCCCCACCCTCCTTTCTCCTGCCATGGACTGAGGCTGCCTCCTGGCTGACCAGGGGCTCCAGCATGGAGCCAGCAACTCAGGCAGACCTTGGCTTTGCATAGGAGAATGAAGAGCAGCGAGGAGAGACATAAGAGAGACAGGTTACAGTTCACCATGAGGAAGAAACTCCCTGGCCTACAACAGCCCAGCCTACTTCAGAAGGCACCCGGCAACCAGCTGCTAGAGTTATAAACACAGAGGACAGCCACCTGCCTGCAGAGGACACTAACACCCCTCAGTGGCCCTCCACAGGTGCAGCTCAGGTGACCCAGGGCCTGTGCAGTCTACAGTGGCCAGGTCTCCTACACACCCTGGTGCCCACGCCAGCCTCTAGCCCTTCCTTCCTGCCACCCCCAGGATACCCATAGTGCCCTGCTTCCTGAGTCTTCTACAAGAGGGCCTAAGGCAGAATTTCAGCCTGCATTCAACTGCCATGCCCCAGGGTTTGCATTGCTGCGCATGCTGAGGTGATATAGAGAACTGGGCACAGAGACTGAGCCTTTGGTTTAGAAAGTTGGCAGATGGAGCTGTGGTTCCCAGATGCCTCTCTGGCCTCGGGCATTAGGATGTTCCTGGCAGTGTATGCAGGGGCTCCACTCCCATCACCCAGAACCTACTTATTCAACCCAGAAGGGAAACTTCCTTCCCTCTCATCTAAACACCCTCCACTGACAGCAAAGCCACCAGCCTCCTGCACTGCACTTGAGCTCATTTAAATCCTGAATTAGCTGATGAAGCTGCATTCAATAGTCTCTTTCCTCATGAGCTGGATGGTACACTGGTCAAACACTAGGATTCCTGCAGGGAGGAGGAATGATATCTCCAAACCCGAGCCCCAAACCCTGGACCAAGGGTCTCTGAATAAATCACCAGCAAGCAGCACAGAATCTGAATATGGGTTTCAGTGATTCCAGACCCTCAGGCTGCCACCTGGCCACTCCTGTCCTGACCCAGCCCGGAAGGACAGAGTGGAGAGGCAGACCCCATGCCAGCAGAAGATCCTCCAGGCTCCACTCTCAGCCCTCCAATCTCAGGCACTCAGTTTCTGTGGGTTTCAATTTTCTCTCCTAGGAACTAAGGCGGTAACAGTTGCCCTGACCACCTCCCAAAGTGGGAGAGGCGAGGAGAGCATCCTACAAGCCGTGACATGTGACTCAGTGCCAGTGTCTGTCCCCGTGGGGCTGCGCTCACCACACAGGTCTCCTGCAAGATCCATTCTCCTTCCTGACCCTGGGATGACACAGGAGGAGACAGAACCCATGGTTGCCATGGGATCACAGGAGGCCCTTGTGGCAAAGCACCCCCAAAGCCAACTAGTCTAATGCCTCTTTCTTTGGTTTTTGTTTTTGTTTTTTATTCTGAACACTTCAGAATATTATTCAGCCTTAAAAAATGAGGAAATTCTGCTATTTGTGACAGCACAGATGAACCAGGAGGGCACGATCCTAAATGAAATAAGCCAGACAGAGAAAAACAAATACTACCTGATTCCACTTATATGAGGAATCTACAGTAGTTGAGCTCACAGAAGCACAGAGTCGGACGGCGGCTGCCAGGGGAATGGGAGGTCTTAGGCCATGGCAACAAAGGTTCAGCTTTGCAAGATAAACAATTCCTAGAGATCTCCTGTGAGGCATGGAGCCTATACTTAGCAATGCTATGTTATATACTTAAAAATCTGTTAAAAGGGTAGATCTTATGTTAAGTGTTACCACAGAAATTAATAATAAATAAATAAACTTTTTGTGTGTCAATCATACTTCAATAAAGGGAGT